CTACACTGCTTGTGGATTTGTTAGCAGTGAATTTGATTGTGGGATGAGCCGAATTAATGTTCAATAGGAACGTATCCAAATTATCTTCACCATGGGTCCAGATCATGAAGATATCATCAATGTAACGAAACCAAACATCTGGTTTCTTGGGCTGTAGGTACAGGAAATTGGCCTCAAATTGTCCCATAAATAAGTTAGCAAAAGATTGAGCCATTTTGGTGCCCATCGCTGTGCCATGAATTTGAAGGTAATGCTCGTCGCCGAAAACAAAGTTATTATTGGTCAGAATCAGCATGATAAGTTCACGGAGATGTGATTTAGATGGGGTTTTGCCACGAATTTGCTTGTAATTTGAAATGCACGCATTAACACCTTCTTCATGAGGGATATTAGTATATACTGACGAAACATCAAGTGTAGCCAGAACAGTATTATTAGGTAAATTTGAAATTTGGTTAATTTTGCGGATGAAGTTGGTGGAGTCCTGAATGTACGAGGGGAGAGCAACAACATATGGTCTCAATAAATCATCCACATATTCAGAGATTTTTTCTGTAGCAGTACCGTTGCCCGAAATAATGGGTCTGCCTGGACGGCCTGCTTTGTGGATTTTGGGTAGGACATAGAAACGTCCTGGTGCCGGATCAACCTGGATGAGATGGGGTCCAATTTTGGGATCGATGGAACCTTTTTTAACCATCTTTAATACAGATTTTTCCACTTCCTTAGAAATTTCCGGAGTGGGATCCTCTGTGAGCTTCCGATAGTGAAGAGGATTGTTTAGTTGTCTTAAGGACTCCTCTTCATAGAATTTAATGTCCATTATGACAGTGGCAGAGCCTTTATCAGCTGATTTGATGATAATATCATCACGCTGACGCAAATTGGCGATGGCCTGCCTCTCATTTTTTGTGAGATTGTCGCAGAAATCTGGACTAGGAGTGGGGTTTTTAACGTCCTCCTCAATAGTCTGAATGAAAGTTTCTAAAGCTGGGCAACGATTCTTAGGGGGATTCCAGGTACTTTTAGGTTTGAATTTGTTAACATTGCCCGTGTTATCCGTGGTGTATTCGGACCAACGGGCCTTCGGACCAAATACCCTTAGGACCAACGAACATTCGGACTAAAGGTACTCACCCGACTAAAATTAGGAACTTCGGACCAAAGACCCTTCGGACCAATGGGCCGTCGGACCAAAGACCCTTCGGACCAGTGTGCCGTCGGACCAAAGACCCTTCGGACCAAAGGTTCGCACCCCTCTTTGTAGGAAGTATATTAACCATCCCAGTAAAAACAATAAACTGAAATACACAAAATACAAAAACAAGCTTACTCATTTAATTAGAATAAACAAACGTCTTTTTATACTCCAATGCTCTCGACGCAGCTCGTAATAATGTAAACAAACATGGAATATTCTTAGTAAAGTTCTCAACAGAGGCAGAAAGAAGAAAACTGTTACCCCTGACACAAATGATGCCAAGTCTACCGCTGATGGATTTATTGACTTTTTCAGTAATATTGGGTCAGCCCTTGCTAAAGCTATTCCGAGTAGCAATATGAATTGTAAGCAGTTTCTCAAGGGAAATTACAGCAATTCTTTCTTTTTTGAACCTACAAGCCCTGAGGAAATTATACAATTTGTCAAAGGTTTGAAATCGTCAAACACCGAAGGAGCTGACGGTATTAAAAGCAAAATCATTAAACAATTATTATTTACTCCCTATCTATTCCATTGTGCTACATTATCAATCTCTCTCTTGAAAAGAGCACAGTTCCTGACTTAGCTAAGATAGCCAGGGTTGTCCCCATATATAAAGCCGGTGATAAACATATTTACAGTAACATATTGTTTATAACAGACTTTATGGCTATGTAGATAAATTCCTCGTAATATGGTTTTCAAAAGCAGAGCTCCACATTTATGGCGGTCCTTAATCTGATTGATAAGATCAGTGATGCCATTGATAAAGGGGAGTGTGCACTTGACATATTTATATATCTAAGCAAAGCCTTTGATACAATCGATCACGGTATTCTACTTCAAAAACTTGAATATTATGGTGTCAGAGGTACAGCTTTGAACTAGTTTAAGAGCTGTCTGCGGAAGAAGGCAAATACACTGTCCTTAATAACACACAATTTAAAGTATGGTGTACGACAAAGCTCCATTCTTGGACCTTTAGGCTATTATTTATACTTTACTACATCAATGATATTTATAACTGTTCTGAAATTATGTCTTTCCTTTTATTTGCCGATGACACAAATATTTTATTACCCCATAAAAATATAAATACTCTGATAATTCTGATAAACACTGAAGTTGAAAAAGTTAATGAATGGTTTAAATGTAACAAATTATCGCTGAACGTAAATAATAAGAACTTCATGATCTTCCGTAGCAAAAAGAGGAAAGTAGACACAGATTCTGTGAACATTTTAATTAATGGTATAGAAATTGAAAGAGTAAATGTGACAAAATTTCCTACCTTACCGGAATCTAAAGTCTTCAAAGAAAATCCCTTCGTGTTATCACTCACTAATTTCAGGGACAGTTTATCGAATATATTCTGTAGATATGGACTCTTTTAAAAATCCAGGACATTATTACTTACCAAATTGGAATTGCTTTGTATTCTGTCACTAATGAAATAAATACAGTAGTAAACTAATGTGTGTATTTTCAAATGAATCACATCTCCTCAATTACAAAACCAGGGGTAAATGTAAAGTTAAAACTAAAAAGAGAAAACTGAAATGTACTAGCCTCAATGCTATTTATATTGCCCCGAAATGTGGAATAACTTGGACTCTAATCTTAAAAAATGTGCTTTTTTAATCAATTTTTAAATGAAACTTAAAAGAAAACTTCAGAATTTATATGAGAGCATTACTTATCCCATTATTGCTTATGCTTTTATATTATGTGTGGTTTTGAACAGTTGCTAATCTATGCGTCATTATAGAATTATTATCATCATTATTATTGTTATTATATTTATTAATATTATCATATTTGCTTTAGTTCGATGGGCCTCCTATCCTACAAGCTCCCTAGAGTTTCTTGGAGGTCTATTCATCTTTTTATTATCCTTGAATTTGTTATTGTTAAGTTAAATGTTAAGAAAAAAGAAGGAATTAGGAATAG